GATCAGCTCTAGTCTTGATAAGGAAGCTCACAGCACATTTTTGCGGTTTTCCGATCAACCTGGAGACTAGGGCAGCGCGCGTCTCAATCAATTGAATTAGTCGAGGCTTGCGTAGCTTATCGTGTGTTTTGATAAGACGGGCCAGAGATGGCCCGTGTTTCGCAATGGCCAGGCGTCAAACAGAGAGGGTTAAGGGATGCCTGCAATTACTTGATCAATCTCCACGTTCCAGTAGTGGTGACCTGATTCAATTGAGCATTCACTATGCTTTCCATATAGTATGTCATTTTGCCTCGCTACCCTCATCCAACGAGCACTCACAGCTCAACATCAAGGATCGATAGCTCAGTGGTACGAGCGAGGGATTGCAGATCCCTAGGTCGCGTGTTCGATCCACGCTCGGTCCTAAAATTTTGTTTTTGAACACGACTTATGTCATATATCGACTTTCTTTTTATGTATAGTAACCATATTTGCTACATCGATATTGACAATCAACTCAATGCCCCCTTTTTCAAAATTTCTGCCCCTACTTGCATTTCCATTAAATCGTTTTACTTATAGAAAGATACTCCAGCATACCACCAGCAGACCTAGACTTATATTAATGACAAAACATCATTCGAGAACTAGACCGTTCCATGCAAGTGAAAAGCAGGTCCTTGATGAACTCGGGACACTGTTCAGCCATGTCGTCATACCATTCTCTCTCCTCTATTGCCTGCTTTTTCCCATGAGCTGGACATATCATGAACTTCACCACCATTTCCCGTAGTTCGTGTCGATGCTCCGGGGTCGAGCTATAGACCTGGGGGATCAAAGGCAGAACTTCTTCCAAGTTCAGACCGTGGGAAAGTCCGATACGAAATTGATCCGCTGCATATTGAGCAAGTGGTTCAATTTTGTACATGTCACCTATGGCGAACATGTCAATGTGGTCAGCGAGAGTGGGAGCCTTGGAGGTTTCCATGGGGTATGTTCCTGTGTAAAGGAAGTCTATAAGCCATCGTACATGATCACCAGAAAACTCTGACAGATTGAATGTGTTCGTGGAAGACTCCTGCGTCATGTTAGCAATGCCCATCAGGATGAAAGGTAGACTAACCTCGAACTGCCTGGTGCATGCTGCATGGAAGACCGTTGATTGACTGCAGACGATGACCTTATGGACTGGGAATTGGGCAGCTCCACAGATGAAGGTAAAGTCTGTGAATTCTTGGTTATGTCTGGTTCTGAGACAAGAATTAGTAAGGTGTTCTGATAGATAGTACTCGAGGGGGACCATACTGCCAAAGACTCTTTCTAAAGTTTTCGTTTTCGCTTTCATCATCCATTTTTGATCAGGTTTTGGTGATTTCTGGATATGATATAGAACTATCTAACGTGTCAAGTTTAATTTTCTAAGTAAATGAATGGCAGTGTAATATTTATAGCTGGATCAGTAGAACAGGTTTTATCATGTTGGCAAACTATATATTTCAGAAACTTCGCATAATCCAGAATCACATATTCAACCACATTGTGGCTGACTCTATGTTTGGCCTATTTTGAGATGCATGCCCTTTGTGCGTGTCGGACCACTCTACCTCCCGGTCGAGAATACAGTCATAAAGAAAAAAGACTTTTAATTCACCAAGGCTTATAAAATACAGTAGCCATTTGATTCGTCTATTCATTGATGTATAATAAAGCTTCTTTGAAAGTACGTTTTACGACGCAAATCGTAAATCCCACTTTTTCGCCTTGAACCCCTGGCGATAAGACGTGAATCTTCGCGCTGCTTTGGGTTTCCGAGCTTGTTTTATAACTTGAACCTGAGATTGGTCCTGCCAGAGCAGCAGAACTATGTTCAATGGCGCATTCCCTCTGTGATTTAAAATCTACATTATTACATGACGTATAAACGGGAGCTTATCGTTAACCGAGACTGTTTGAGACTTCTGGGCAGTTCAGTACCTGCAGCTGCGAGTTCTCCTCTTCACGTGGATTACGAGCGAGCTCTAAGAGCAATACTATTGGTGATACGAGAGAGGTAGCATCTCTATCTCTACGTGTAGCGTGATGAAGCCCATGCTTGTCGTTACTTAGCATCAGCAGAGAACCAGGGAGTCGAGTTGAGTCTTTGCATGATTTATGACTAGAAATTTTGAAATCTTGCTTAAGCTACGTATATTCGATTATAGCTAAGGTATAGGAGCTTCAAGATGTAAAGGAGCTCAGGACAGCTTCTCTCAGATCTAGTTGCTAACAGTCTTGCCCATGGCTGACTACTGTAATCGCACTTAATACCAACGACTAGCCGCGAAACGGGGAAAATCATAAGTAGGTGCAAAAGATCTGGCAGCACTAGGAGCATTTGTTCCAGAGCCAAGTAAGGACAAGCCGCCAGCATTAAGAATATGTGTTTGACTCGCATGGAGACGTTGCAATTCATGAGAGCTCTTTGATAGGTGATCCAGCTTGCTGCAATCACTGCATCTAGACCCCAGAGGAGTAGTCATGATGGACATCATCACCTCCTTCAGGAAGTCCTGACTAGCGTCACATATCTGGTCGATCACTCCCATGCTTGCATTCCTACATATGCAAGTCAGCACCGCCTCCCTCGTGTGGGCGACGGCCGCATCGATAGCATCCCTGGAGACCTCGACAGGCACCTCATACAGAACCGGAAGCGATTCGAGAAAGTCCTCCAATTCAACATTCTTCTGCTTTAGTCGGCGGATATACGAAGCTTTAGCCTCCATTTCAAGGCCTTGGATGACATACTTGTCTGCCAAGACCAGCATCAACAGATGCGTCGAAAGGGGTAGTTTGGACGCATCTGGATTCGGATCTTCGTAGTGCCCGACGTAGAGGTGGTCGACCATCCTTTCGACGAATTCCAGAGGGTATTCGCTCAAGTCATACACTCCAGATGTGGCTTCCTATAGAACGATCAGCATATTGTCGCTGTAGCTTGGCTTCCACTTCCTTACCTTGAAATCACTATTGCAAGCGGCATTAAAAGCCTTCGACTGTGCACAGATTATCACTTTGTGCACAGGAATCTTTGTGCCCTTGCACAGAAAAGTGAAGTCTGTGAACTGACCAGCTTTTTGGGCCCTTGGATATGTTAGTTGAGCTTGAACGGGATGTGAAAATACCTTGCTGCTGCATGATCTTCCGTTCCTCAATATTCATGATGGATTGATGGTGGGTTTGGTGAGGGAGAGATACTGAGTCTTTTAGCTTTGGGGGGAAGAAGAGCGACTGGTATTTATGAAAGAAATGAATAAGGGTATTTCTTGGTAGAGTTTCTTAATCTAACCTCTCTGGTTGGGGAGACTGATCTGTGATAAGGTTGAGGGGTCAAAAGTGGCTTCAGCCTCCAGGCCACAAAGGTAAAGGGGAGACTGATCATGTACTATGTAGTTGCCTGCCTTTGAGGTTAAGCTTTAGGCTACGACTACAGGTGATGAATTAGAACACGATATTTATTATGTGCTAAAGTATAACCATTCATTGGCTGGATCATTGGATCACCATTCCCAGTAAGATTGCTCCGTCAAACTTTGACCATAGATTTGGAGAGTATAAATTGAGACAACCCTATCTCTAATCTTGAACAGGCATCCTTCAACCTTCCAGTCACTGACTTATTGCTGAGAGCATAAGCGTTGAATGTGATGCGAAGTGGCCAGCTCATCCGGTCAACCATCAGGGAAGAGGATCATTTCATATGTTGTGAAACTCATTTTCTTACAATAACCTTGTCCATAGAGGCTTTACATCATTCTCTCCTTGAACATACCAATTATTGTACGCATTCTTTCCTAGTTTAAAATGCTCATCCACATCGAACTCATATTCCAACATCTTACTCCAGGAATGGAGACTAAGTCCGGCCCTGGCGCCCCCCTTGCCACATTTCCGGCATCTACACTGCAGAACCTCAATCGGAACCGCAAAGTGTCTCGATTCACAATCCGAGTTGCCGCAGGTACCCATTAGCGAAAATCGTATAGAGAGGTTGAGAAGGTCTTTCGCAAACTCTGGGCAGTCGTAAAGGAATTCGTCAATGACATTTCCCAGTTCGATTGCGGTCAGTGCGGTCCCCAAGTGTTTTCTAGCCATCATCAGAGCTCCGACCCGAAGGGTCTTTGAAGTCTCCCTGGGGAGTTCGTAAACTTGCGAAATCGAACTGGCGAAGTCGTGCCAGTTGCAGCTTTCATCCAAGCACTCCAAGTATTTCTTGCTCGCGAGCGCTTGCAGCCCATCAATGCCATACTTGTCTGCCAATGTGAACATGGAGGCGTGAGTGAACAAGTCGGCGTCCTCTGGAATCTCATAGGTTCCAGTATACAGGTATTCAACCATTCTGTTTACGACATCAAGAGGATGGTCGTTCATGTCGTATATCCCAGAGGAAGCTTCCTGGACTTTATTAGTGGGCATGAAGGTGTACTTGGCGGCAGCCGGTACCTTGAACTTCCCAGTGCATGCTCTCTGGAAAACCGTGGACTAGCCGCAGATGATGATCTTGTGGACGTTGATTGTTTGTCCCTCGCAGACGAAGGCGAAGTCAGTGAATTCGCCATTTTCGCGCGCTCTGTCCGGAGTTAGCAGGTTCTATAAAGCAAACTACATAAGAAACGTCGTACTTCTGCATACGGAGTCTGTCTTCAAGAGGAATCATATTGAAGGGGAATGAAAGATGCTGCTCTGGGGTTGATACGAGATATAAAATTTACTATGAACTTGGCGGGCACAGGAGGGGTTTATATGCTACTTCTGCCACTCTCATGCAAATCAAAAGGTGGCTGGGTAATATGCAAGCCTCAGTTCTCTGGAAGCCCTTTCTCCAGTAATTCAAATGCCCAGAAGCCCTCTGTTCAGTTGTTGACGCCACCAATGTTGGTAGGCCTCCCAGCCATCAACAGACGCCTCAACCGAGCTAGAGTGCCAGGGTAACTTGAAGATGGCTTCAACAATTGACGACATTTGCCACCACATGATAGTCAACGTACCACATCCATTTCAAAGATCGGACACAAGAGTTCCTGCATCGGACCGTTGCTATCGCACATAAAGTGCTGAAACGATTCCTCGTTCTTAAACAGCTCAGCCTGACTCAGAATGTATCCTGCGACCATCCGCCGCAGTCTCATGGGTACGAACTTGCCTGAAGCCAAGACAAGGAGCTCCATCACATGATCCCGGGAATAGCCCCAAGGTATAGTTTCTTCCATGGCGATGAACAGCTTGTCCATTGCAACATCCATCAACTTGTCCATGCAATAGCGATCTGCAAAGACGCACACTTGGGCATGATGTAGCAGTGTATCTGCACCGATGTTCCCTGCATCAGGCGGCCGAGAGATGGGGGCGTATTTGTTAACAAATTCTTGCCACAAAGGATTAAGCCTGGGTGTATCGCGACTGTTGGTGTCAGAGAGTCCTGGGTGGAGGCGGACGTAGTTGGCCCAAAACTTGCCCCAGTGGCTCAGCTCTTCTTCGACAGGATCTCTGTCCTCCTCATAGCCATTTTCTTGAACGGGGTTCGTGTAGTTGCCGGTGTACGCAAACTCCCAGAAGCTCAAGAATACGTCCTCCTGCAGGTCGATCCATTCGACGCGTTGTTCCACTGCTTCCTTGAAGGGCCCGTTGACAAGGACGTTCAGGACGGGTGACTGCTTGGCAACAAGGGCCGCGTGAATGGTAAACTCGGTTTGGTCAGGACCAACGATGAAGGTGAAAACCTTGGATGTCGCGATACTGCGTGGCTGTCAGCTTGGTTCGTGCGAAGTTTCCGCGAAGCTTACCTCTTGGTTGACGGTCGATCCAGATCCTTGGGATTTGTGATTTGATCCATTGTATTTGTGTTGATGGTCATCATCAGTGTGGGTATTACAAAAGCCAAGTGGATGAGGAGAGATGGTAGGGGAAAGTTTGCAATATATCGATCTTGGGGTAGTAAGGTTCCGCGGTGTGACTCAAGAAGCCTACGATAAAAGATTAGCAGATAAACTTTCAGAAATCAAAGTTTGTTGACAATACCTCTTCTCACTGGCTTACCAGCCCTTCCCATAAAGTATAAATGTTGGATGGCAAGGAAATAATTTCTCGTCTGTGTCGTTTTGCTTTTCAGTAACAAGAGGAATGGCGTGGTTCTTGTTTGCTGAGCAAAAGGGTTGGCAAAGGGTGACGAACAAGATGGGTTGATTGTTCATGCATAGGTACACGGTCCACTGGCACGGAGGATCATATCCGGGCTGTTCTTATGGTCCACGATGATTGGAAGACGTACAGTGAGAAAGTTCACTACGTGTCTTGGGTCAGTTCACGATGTCTTCACCACCAGCACCAGCACTGCATAATTCAGTGGCCAGGCTCCAAGCGAGTCCTCAAATTCACCGAGAAAACGGTTCGGTCTTGGGGCCATTGTTCCCTCAACATGGCCCGCCTGGTCTTGGTGCAGCGGTAACTGGTCCCCTACTCTGCCACCGTACTGCCAGTGCCAGTCTATGCATGCCCAGATCAACACTGGCAGAATTCTTCCAATCTTAACAGCTCTCGCCTGCTCCAGTATTCTCTCATCTCTTCTTCGCTCATCCAATTCCATCCCTCTCATCCTCTCATCTCTACACACAGCGCTTTATCTCACTACATCTCCGTTAAACCTCTTAACCCTTCTCACGATTTACTACACGATATCACCATCGGTATCAATATGTCTGGGTCGGCAAACAAGTCACTACATCAACTAAGTGTAGAAAACGGACGATTCCAAGCGACACCCTTGTTTTGGACCACCCAGCATCTCGAGCTGGTAGGCTGCCAGTTCCTGGAGGTCGAAGCTGCCAATGACAACCAAGGTCAGTATGCCCGACAAGATGGGCGGTTGACTTACTACGCCACCCGACTCGCGACAACACCAGTCGAAAACATGAAAGCTCACTACATCCGATCACTGTTCAGAGGAACAGGAGTTTTAGAGTTTGTCCTGTATGTCACATACACTTCGACAGCGTCGCTTTGACTAACATTTCGTAGTGCATCGGCGGCGTTTTATTATGCCGGCCGATTGGTCCATGTCCCGGAGGTGAACGCCTTCCGAATCGCGGGGCATATCGACGTCCCGCATCCGGAGCCGGTAGTTGGCTATTACTCTTACAAGGCGGATGAGATACGCCGTGCTCGTTTCACGCCCCGGGCTGGCCCTCCCGGAACCTTGAACCTTGCGATGCAGAGCCTATACCAGCGCAAACTCGCGAGAGTCACTCCAGAAGACTGGACACGAGACCCCTATCTTGTTTGCATTCTGCTGAGCTTGGCTCAGCTACAAGAGAGATCAGACAACACTGGGCAACCGCGCCTATACCTCGTAAGTTGACAACTCCCTCCCCATTGAACGATACCCATACTAACACAGTGCGTTCTAGGTGCGACTCCTCGTCACCCACAGAGATGAAGCGGAAAATGCCTATGTTTATAAGGCTGATCTCCCCTCGCAGCTCTTGGAGTGCTTCAAGTTTCCAACACGCCCTATGGACGACTTCGTGTTCCCCACCATCACGGTGGGCAAGGTGGCATTTGAGCCATTTGAGACCTTTGGTGGTCGGGCCGTGGAGGCCCTCGTCGGCACCCAGTACCGTCCCTCGACAGCCTAGAGAAATGCCAGTATCGGGTTAGCTGGACATGTATCCGGAGCAGATGTATCAGTCTAAGCGGTATTGTGTCCTTACGATAACGGTAAGTCCGTCATGATCTATCTGTGTGTATCTGGCTCGCTCATCAGCATGACGATTAGTGCTTTGATCTATGGACGTGGGAGATTGTGTAAAACTAAGCAGGAAACCAATCAGGAGGGGAGTCTTTTCAGCGTGTTCATTTCAGGTGAGATTTCGGTCACCAGCAGAGGAGATGTTGGCCGGCCATAGAAGCGACATTTACCTACCCAACATGGTCTTGCGGCGATCTGAGTTTAGTCTACCATCAGCAATAGTGATGTGATTATGGTCTTTTCTGACAATTGGGCCTTTTATTCAGCGATGGTTTTTGAGCCTCAACCTTTTTAGCAAGATGAGCTCAGTCGAGACCTGCAACAGGAAGAACATCTTCTCTGTCAGGCATATTAAATCACAACGCAGATGTTTACATGCCTTCCCCTTAGTCTGTGGCCTCATTTAAAACTATTCATGTGAAGATCTGGCATTGGAAGTGATACTGACCTCTACGTCACTGGCAGAGCTATCTGATGGTGTCATGATGGGCAAAATGAGAAGTTCTGCACAAGGTCAACGTTCTTTACGCCCTGGAACCACCAGGTTTGTTGAGGAATACTCTTCTGCTGCCTTTGTTTAATCTTTTGGGTCTTTATTCCCAAGTTTACTAGGACTCCCATTATGTGCAGAGCAGAGTGGCCGCTGTTTCTCTATTGTTCATGTTGCGACATGGAATTATCCAGTTGTTCAGACATAGATCCACCACCGGGACACGTTCTTTGTTGTAAAGAGACCGTTCAATGCAAACAATGCTGAACGGGTACAAAGACTAGATGAACTCTCAAACAAGGACTCGGCCAACTCATTGGTCTCAGGCCTTTAAATACGATACTGGCGCGTATTGATGTCGTCCATATCTATTTACCGCACTATTGACTATTCAGCCGCCACTTCGAGCTTCTGGTCCCTTTCTCCGACAAATATCATAACTACGTCTATTGATAACCATCATTATGGATCCAGACTGGAGAGAAGTCAAGCATCGAGCGATGCGAGGTCGTCTACAGAGCCTCAGGCTTCGTATCATTGATCTTGCGAATACCTTGGACAATTTTACCACAGAACAGCTTGGCATTCATTGCGGTGCTGTCATGGAAGACATCCGCAGCTTGTCCTATGATTGCATTTTAGAAAGCAGGGATAGACTCGACGAATTCCAGTTTTACTGGCGAGTGGGAGAAATCGATGTATTGATCAAATTTTGTGTTGAAGAGGAGCTTGAGAAGATTGAACGGGCGGGGAATCGCAAGCCTCGTTTGACAAGAGAAAAGCGCAGGGATATGATGACAGATCTCAGATTTGACATTCCCTTCACTGAAATGTGCTTCGTCCCTTTCGATGCGTATGACTTCTTCATGAGCCTCGGACAGGCTTTCAGAGACCTTATTGTCGATGAGCTGAGGCATCGTGCTCATGACGATGCTGTTGCTAGCCCTCAGTCCATCGAGGACGAGCAGTCTATCAAGGAGGAAGAGTCTATCAAGCAAGAGCAGTCTATCGAAGAGGAGCAAGGTCTCAGCGAGCAAATTCGCCTCGAACTACACCCACCTGGAGAGTTTATCACTAACGATGTGCTTAAGCAGATGTTCAGGGGGGAGGCGGTCAACAATGATGATCCCAGCAGTCGCTGGGCAAAGCAACAAATTGATGCGTATCAGAGATACCTCCAGCTGCCAGTCACAGACAAAGTGGCATCAGGAGCTGTGGAGGAGTATGACGACTGTGTATCAATGAAGATGCCGTGTCCGCCTGGGATGAGTTTGCTTCTCCTGACCCGTTCAGGAGACTGGTGGTTCCCCCATCCAGTGGACCCTTCTACGAAGAATTCTGGTTCTTGGGGTGATGTCCCCAACCTGGAGGTAATTACCATGACTCGCGAACAGCTGCGGGAAGATCATGAGTTTGGGGGAGCTGCCTTCAAGAAGGAGATTCCTGAAATTGAGCCTCGTCTCGAGAAGTTGGACATTAACTTTGACAAGGTTATTACCTCTCAGTATGGGATGGTGGTTGCATGGAAGTACGTGGGAAGCGATGAATGGTATGATCGTTATGGCCATGTTGTTCCGGAGCTTGTAGTTGACGAGTCAATCATTCACCATGGCCGACGATGGAGTGAGACTAGGAAACAAGATGACTCTTCGGATTCGGATTGACCTCAGTACTTTAGTTAGGGATCAGTTCTCGCAAGTGCATAGGCTGGGACGTTGGTTTGGAATGAGGTGGCTAATTTATGGGGATAGGCTGAAGCGAGTAGATAATGGATTATGTTTCTTGAATCGACCTTGACTTGTCATTATAGAACTCATTGTTGTTTTGCTGATTTTACTGTTGACCAGATTCATGTCAATCTCGGGGCTGGAGCGATTGCACCAAGGAATGAGGGCATCTCAACGGCGACTCTACCTGAAGCCGCACCTGTACTGCTGCTGCGCCAACTAGACACTTTACTGTTCTTGAGAAATTTTAATAATTAAACGGAATACAGGCTAACTATGGATCTGTTGTTATTTTCACAGGTCGCAAGTGTTGAGAAATGGGCGTGCAGGCGCATCTTGTATTGTATTTTCGCGACTAACAAAATCAGGTCATGATCCTCCCTCCTCCAAGACATCCGCATGAAACCTCCCGCGGGCCAATTCCCATTCCCGCCCAAAAACCCTTCATCAAGTGGACCGCATCCGCTTCTCCCCGGTCCCTAGCGCCCAGAACCCTTGAAACCACGAACTGATGATACAGTAGCACGCACCATGCGATGCAAGCTGGGGCCAAGGCCAAGCAAAGAGGGGTGAGCAGCTTCAGTTTTTCTCCGCCGAGATTTCCCTTCTTCAACTGTGTTCTCGTCAAGAAATACAAGATGAGCACTGCAGCAGATGTCACACAGGCTGAGAATGTCGCCTCAGGGGACATGCTTGCCCCGACGCATTGGGAAGTACGATACATGAGCATTACATGGAAAGTGACTTGTTGATTGACTCATTTACTTAGAACACTGAAGCTACGGACAACTCAGATGCCGACTCTGCGATCGGCGACGACGCTGCTAGCTCTACCGCCAGTATCAACTCCAGCATTCTCGAGTATCGAACCATAAATGGGCGGACGTACCACGCTGAGCGAGGTGACACTCAGTACTGGGCGTCAAACGACAACCAGGCCTCTGAGGCCTTGGACATTATCCACCATACTTCCACGCTGATCATGGACGGCAAGCTCTTCCTCGCGCCCGTCAAAGAGCCCAGCAAAGTCCTCGACATCGGAACCGGCACTGGGATCTGGGCCATGGACTTTGGCGATGAGTTCCCTGAGGCGGAAGTCATCGGCACAGACATCTCGCCCATCCAGCCCACGTGAGTCCTGCTCCAACTACAACGGTCCAAGCTAACAGGTGTAGCTGGGTTCCCCCAAACGTCAAGTTCGAGATTGAAGACTTCACCCTCGACTGGACGTTCCCTCCCAACTCGGCCGACTTCGTCCACCTCCGTTTCCTCTACGGCAGCGTGCCCGACTGGTACGCCTTGTACGAGCGCGCGTATCAAGTAACTAAACCTGGCGGCTGGATCGAATCCCACGAAGGTGATCCCATGGGCCGCAGCGACGATGACAGTCTGAAACCTGGCAGCGCAATTGCAGAATGGGGCAAGTTCTTCCACGAAGGCGGCAAGAAGCTCGGTCGCGTGTTCACTCCACTGCCCGATAACCTGCAGGAGAAGGGTCTCAAGGCCGCTGGTTTCGTGGACATCCAGTCCAAGACGATCAATGTTCCTGTTGGTGATTGGCCGCAGGATGAGCGACTCAAGGAGATCGGAAGGTTCACGACAATGAGCATTCTATCCGATGTAGAGGGACACATCTCGTTCATGGCTACGCTCCTTGAGGGGTGGACCCAGGAACAGGTCCATCTGTACTGCACCCAGCTGAGGAGGGAGTTGAAGTCCAAGAAGCCGGCGCACGCTTACTACCTGCAACGTATTGTTTGGGGACGCAAACCCGCCGAGGGCGAGGTGGCAGCGACATAGTAGTTGATCAATGATGTTCATTAGACGTAAATAGCGTAACAATACTTTTCCCCGGTCCAGCCGTCCATGTATCCAATTTGTTTGTACCCGAAACCTTGCGCTCCGTTCAGATCTTTACTTCTTCCGTCGGTTCGACATCGTACTCAATCTCGGTTCGGATCACGTATTTCGCTCCCTTTCGCACACCAGTACCCTCATGCAATGTCGCGTTGATCTCGCCATGAGGGAAGATGGCTGCGCCGCCCATGACTGGACGAACAGGGTATGCATTCAGGATTCCTTCACGTGCAGCCGGGAGGAAATATGTGGTTTCGCCACCCTCGAAATCTTGGTTGAGGTAGATCAAGAATGTGAACAGCGAGCTCTGCTTCTTCTCGGCCGGCGAGTCGTCGTACACGTATTTGTCGTCCTTCGTAATGCCGCTCGGGGGCCATGCGCCGTCGATATGTGCTCGGTACTCTGCTCCTGGGACACTGCGGGATGTTAGTGGTGCGGATGGAGTCAAGGGTCTGAGAACCTACTATCGATACACTCGGAAGCGGCGGTTGATACCGCGAGCCAAACGCCCGTTCATTGACACCGGCACAAATGGTTGAATGCGCGACCATAGCGTGTCGTGGAACGTCTTGTCGACAACCCAGTAAAAGTTGTGCGCCAGAATACTGATGTCCCCATCTTCTCGGAGTGGCGCATCAGGCACGAAATTGACGTATTCGCCCGCCGCAATGATAGCCTTGCACTCTTCGGGATAGAGAACATTGGTGGCGACGCTTAGACCTTGCACGACAGGATGCGGTCGATGTGTTGTAGGCGGGGGTGTTGTCGAAAGAGGAACAGCCTCGGGTGTCGAGGCGTAAAGTATGGCGTCGTGATGGTTCGGCGGCTTGCGCTCGGGGCCGGGTGTTGTCTCGATGATGCGAATGTTCTTCTTGAGAGACTCGGGCGCCGAAGCAACGAGACTTCCATCGAGGACCGAGGCATAGAGTTGCTCGGTTGGAGTATCAGGACGAAGATCCCAGATCTCTTGAAGAGCAATTGATGAGGGCTGGATGATGGCATTGGGGTTTCGGTCTTCGTGGCCGCAGACTCGAAGCACCGCATCAATGACTTTAATGAGTGTCTCCTCCCTCTCCGAGCGCTTGACGAGACCTTGTTGATCGGGAATCGTCGAGAGGCCGCTGATGACATCAAGATCTCGTACCCATCGACAAAGGGCACCAAGCTTAGGCTGTTCACCACGAATCTTCATCTCCGCGAGAAGGATTCGAGCATCTGTGTATTTCCGGTCGGCAAGAGCAGCAGTGACCTGCGCCGTGAGGTTCGCGCCAGCAGCATTGTTGACACCAGTCGTACAAGCTTGTCTGAAGTCGTAGACAGCAACTCTCAAATCCTTGCACAGCTTTGACTTGATCAAGCCGGGGTACTGAGCGAGGGAATTGAGAGTGTCAATGGTAATCTCGAGCTCTTCTTCGGATACAACGGTATGGAGGTTCTTGGGTTCGAAGTGCGTGGTCGTGCCATCAGGAGGCGGCGTCGGGATTGAAGGGGAAGTGGTCTTTGCGATCTTTCGAGGGTTATCGGATTGAGCTTGAGCTTGCGCTTGTTTGCGCTTCTTGGACTTTGTCTTGGCCATGATGGTTCGATAATGGATAGGATGGAAATTTACGTGGGGGAGTTGACGATGTGAAGGGGACCGACCAATTGGAGTGGCAAAACCGGTCTGTGGTGGCAGAACTATAAAATGCGGGGCTGAAATCCACCATCACCACCTCATGCAGGGTAGCCATGAGCATTTACGGTACGGATAGGTAGGTAGGTAAAGGAAGCAAAAAACTCAAGATCTTGACCCTAAGACCCAAGAGTATGCAAGTATTTTAGCCTAAGCTGAGGGAATCTTTTACTAAGTTTGGGGGATTCCTCACTAAGTTTATTCTAGTTTCTCCGTACTTTCCAAGTCTTGTGCTTTCTTGTCCCTGGAGAGCGGTATAAATCATATTGCAAACTGGCAAAGGAAATTGGAATGAATCTACCAAATAGCCCAGACTCCTACGTTGCTTTGATACTTGATTCATTGGCTGTCAAGTCTGGAGCGGCATAGTTGTAGAATGGAGTGCGGTTATCCCCCTCGACAACACAGGAGAAAGGTAACAACGAGCATTTGATGGAGGGTATCTGGCTTGCCTCGGGTGCACATTGACAAATAGATGCTGAATACGATATATCCAGGTCTCATACAATTCAAGACCTTCGTAAAACCCTATGGCTTTCTGTGAGACGTCAATCCGGGCCGGTGTCTTTGTGAAAGGTCAAGGAGCATTTTTTCAAAGCTGATTGCTATCGTGATGTTTAATGCCAATGGTGGATTGATTTGCTGCACGGAGATACAAATGGGAAATTAAAATAATTCGAGACAGCCAATTTGTGTTCATTCTTGATCTATCGACTGGAGATTACCATATCTAGGTACCCTTTCCCATGCTTTGGCATCCACCCCTCAACTCCCATCTAGAAGAGCTTGATGTACTCAACTCGGCCCATCTCGTCCTCGCTGCCTGTTTCGTCGTCGTCGTCATCGTCAGAGGAGGACCATCCGCGGGGATTGCCGAATTCCCCCACACAGTAGCCGATATCGTCGTCATAGTTCAGGTCATACACCCTGCCGTAGGATGTTATGGCATGTTCAGAGCCCCGGACATCATCGTTGGAGAGGTCGTTACAAACAGCTGTCCAACTGACTTCCTTGTGATCTGCGTACTCGAAACGGGCAAGTACTTTGATGTTGCTGAATATGTCAAATTCCAGCCATTCTTCGGCATCCTCATCCCAGCTGTCTGGGCTATTCTCTTTGTACAAGTCGCCATACTTGTCCAGAGGGAGAAACTCATCGAGAGCATGAATGAATGCAGAGATGGCATCACCGCACCACTCCTCGTACATACGGATGTACTTTCCGTCGCAGTCGTGATAGACGGGACTGTAGCCGGGAGTTTGCGAAACAAAAAGTGTGCCCTTGTCGATCAGGTAGAGCTGAGGTGTTTGGACCCGGCCGCTGGCTACGCCTTCCATCCAAGTGGCCACCAGACCACGAGCAGAATTCTCCGCCTTTAGTTCATCAAGTGTCTCGGGGAGGTCAACAATCCAGCTAGAATCAAACTCAACGGCAAGAGTGGGCGTCGGAATGATGGCGGAAGAGAGGGGATCAAAAGAGGGGAGGCCCGTGTTGCACTGTTCAAAGCTCTCAGGGAGGGATTTCCAGTCCCCTGTTCGAATGCAGAATATGTCCTGCTGAGGATAAACCATGTACCCGTGTGGCTCGTCGCTGTTTCGACTTGGCAGTATGGCGAGACTTCCAACTTCATGCTGGTGGGAGTCGATAAGCTTATGACGCATGAAGATTGTCTTGACAGTGATGATTGCTCGCGACAGCTTGCATGCCCCCCACAGGCCGCCATTTCTCATATATTCTGACTTGTTGTCAGAGACTCCCGCATCGTCGTTGAGATTTTGCTTGTCAAGAACTCGGAGAGTGAGTAGGTCTCCCCCTCCAGTCCTGATGGTGTCAACGTTGACATAATGCAGCCCTCCTTGATTGGAGGAGAGATGTCCTGGAAAGGTGGATTCGGTACAAGCTGTCATCCAGATTTGGAGCTTGGTTTCCATCGGCAGATCGGGAAACGGGTGGAAGGTTGTTGCAGACATGTTGTGAGCTGATGTGATTGCGATGAAGGTATTTTGAAAAAGAGTGAAGTTGGGGGAGGAAAGGATGGAGAAGGGATGAGAAAAGGAATGGATGTGGGTCATTAGCCTTGCGGGTATAAACAAACCATTGACCTCTGTTTACATCTCGCAGTGGCAGAACAGTGACTATAACAGTGCCACAAGGGTCGTCTGTGTCAGGGAAGACAAGCCAATAGAAAACGACAGCTGCTTGGAGGTCCAATTCACCTTAGCGACTTAGCATTTGATAGTTTCAAGGGCACTGTGTGTGGAGAGACAATTACTCTACAGAGCCAGCCACTGCTATTGTCCAATGTCTTAACCTTAGGTCATCCTTTTGGTGATAGAATGTTGGTAGATTGACGTAGCGTTATGAACTGAGGACGCACTGCCCAGTCAACTTTCGGGATAGTTCACGTTATTTCATGAAGTTTTGCTCAAGTTCTGTAAGTTTGCGAACATCCCATCGGGATAATCTGAAGCACGAATCATCCAAACAAGCTGTTCTTTTTCACAACGGCTCAAGCTCATGTGTTGTTCACGAGTCATCCATCTTCTCCGTAGCCTTTGTTCACATCGACTTTATCTGCGAGAACACTGGAGGGCCTGGTTAACACATCCTTCTCTGGTTATTGCTTTTTCAAGATTGGTTAGCCATTGAAGTTCCCAACTAGACACGTTGTTTGTAGTTACAAATCTCGATTCAGAGCTTATGTCAGAACATGTACCTTAGAAATTGCTTGTTCATTGAATGCCATAATGTGCAAGTGTAACTCTAGCACTGGCACTGCCCAACCTATTGTTCCCCATTCCCCGTATGAGTCACCTTACCGCTCAGCAAATACTGGCCGCTACCACAGCTACCACGAGCCCTGCCACTGCCAGAGAAAATCCATCATGTGGTACTGTTCATCAATTAAAGGCCTTCACTCCAGAAAACACTGCTCTTCACCCTTCATCACTCCTCAAACTTCCAACTTTTGACTTTCGACTTTCGACAATCCCCATCCAACACCTTTCCATTCTACCATATCCTCAGAATTATTCTATCAAGACTCATCAAGTGCACTGGTACGACATATACTGAACGATTGCACTCATATCATAAGTCTAACAGCGCACAGCTATCATGACGCAACCCATGGTTGTCGAAGACCCTGATCACGGTGTTGGGCTCAAGCAAACGAAAGAGATGCCAACTCTGTCCGCCGAAGAAATACCTCCCATGACTTTCCACTCATTCCCGAACCTCGCAACAGAACTTCGACTCAAGATCTGGAAGGCAGCTTGTTTCCCTTACGCGGCCACCCAACGCGGCCTCCACTACATCAATCTGGAATCCATTGGGGGCAACGAGATATCTGGGGAATTGGTCACGGAGATGGCCGCAATGGAGATGAAGGCACTTCATCCCGATTTCCAGACCTCGTCCAATCTCCAGGGGGTTGTCGGACGCGCAAATAGATCTGCCTATATGTGGGACGCTGGTCTTTGGAAAGCTTGCAGAGAGTCAAGGGAAGTTATCTCCAGGCACTTCAAACTAAACATTTGGGGTGATATTCAAGAAAAAGACCTCGACCTCCTCGACTTGGATGAGTGCCTCAGTAAGGCTTGCCAACTATACCCCTGGAAGCCGCGGTATGAAGAATTGGAAGACGACGAGGAGCCGTATGAGGAGCGACCAGGTCTTGGAAGCTCAGCTCGTAAGCCTGAGCCCTTTCTTCCTACCTGCCTTTTTTCTCGCAACCAAGAGCATGCAGAGCGCTTTATGGTCATGCCAACTCGAGACCTATTTTGCATCAAGAGCCTCGGTAGAGGGGATTTACCAGTCACTATGCAGGCTCCTCGACTTCATGTTCCCTGTCCCAATCACCAGGAAATCGTCCTACTGCACTCGTTCAATCTTGTCCTTGAGTTCAACACGAGTTGGCTTGATGATTTCCCTGAGAGCTGGAACAAACTCAAGGAGGAAGAGTCACTGCGAGGCCTTTTTGCGACTTGGGCTGAAGGTTGCATGAGGGGCCGTGGTAATGCGCCGTGTATCTATCTTCTCAAAAAGGCTGCTCGTTGGGGGCCACATTGGTGGGTGAAAGACGGTATAGTCTTTCATGATTGCGACGATGCGTACGTGGAAGTTGATAATGAATTCTTCGGCTTCTATCCGGGTAAGCCAGCAGAGGCCTCCGCCATGCTAGACTTTCTCTGGCGTGTTTGGGCGCTTCGGTCCGTTGCATTTTGCGAGGACTGTACCAACGACCAAATATGTGAAATATGTCAGCTCGATCCAGATTTTGATATGACTGAGTTTGTCAAAGTTCTCGTTCGCCACGAAAAGGAACCTGCTCGAGTTCAAATCGAGGATCGAGTTGATGAACTGGACGAATTGGCAAAAGACAACGACTGTGAAATCGAGCATGAGAGCGAAGACAACAAGGAAGTCCAAGAGGCATCTGAGTCTTAGAATTAGCGGAGCTGTTGGGCAGCAGGGGCAGGCTCTTGGAACTTGAACAGTTTCGACGGATTTATTCCCTCATCACGGCCAACGAAGCATGTGTACAAGAAGAGGGACTTAAGAACCTGCCAGGAAAGAGAGATTGAGATAGGGAATGTACAACGGAAGCAAGCATCGAAGTTTGGAACTGTTGGTTCTCAGTTTGTACCTCATAGCTAGTACAAAAGAAAGAAAATTAGATCATCGCGAAGCAAGAGATGCTATTCACATTTGACCCATCACCAAACTGAATGCTGTCCATAATGTAACTGACTTGAGCCAACAGTTTAGTTAAAAGTCTCATGATGGTCATCAATAAACAAAGCTACGTATCATGTCTGCGTCCCAACCATCCATTGTTTCTAGTAGAATACCAAACATCTAACCTCGATACTCTGCCGTCCCTTCGCATCCGCCGGCGTAGCAGGATCGACAAACGCAGTGTGAGGCGTATATCCCGCCAAACCATGCTGACCGCCCTCGTGAACCTCACTCTTTGAATCAAAGCACTTAATCAGCATAACCTCCTCAGGCGTCATGTCCTTGGCGTAGTAAAACTTATGGCCGTCATTCGGGGCAACGGAATATGTCTCGCCCTTGATCTGATAGCCCTCCGTTGAGCGAAGCGTCGATGCATCAGGGAGCACCTCCTTTCCGCGGTCATCGTCGTCGTTGTCCTCGCGCTTGGGGTATAGAAGATCAACTTTGATCATGTCTTCAGGCTTGGTGGTACGATAGTCCACGACTGCGAGGGGGAAGTCTGTTGCCGGATGGCCAATTGGTCGCCAGACGTTGATGATTTGGTATCGTCCCTTGAGAAGCTTTTCTGTCTCTGAAGGATCGGTGTGTCGTCTCACGCGAGCTTCAGCAGCGCCGGGGGTTTGATCAACATGGACTTGTTGCACAGGCTGTCTGGGACTCGACTTCTCCCTTCTGCGGATAGTATGATCAAAGATAACCACCTTCTTGATCTCAGGAATTCTCTCTCTGAGCAGCGCTTCAACTTCGCCGTAATAACCATTCCTCACAGCCGCGTCATCAGTGAACTCGGTCTCTTTGGCGGGAGACTTGAAGACATCGAAGCCAGAGACATCCACGCCGAAAGCGGTAATGCTAGCGGCATTGCGAATGTCCACGACGTCGCGCTTGTGCTGGCTGCGCTCGAAAGAAGTTTGGTCCACGTCGACTTTAGCCCAAGGCTTGACCCTGTTTCCGTTGTCATCGAGACTCGATGTCGGATCGATGTAGTTGAAGAGCCCGGTTGTCATTTTGGTGGTTGCGAAGTGGAAAGGTCTGAGTTGAGCGGGGTTGACGAGCTGTTTGAGAATGGGTCTTGTTCTGAGAAGCCGTGACATGCAGGTTTAAGATTTCTAGATGGGGAAGTCGAATCGAACTACGGCTGTTTCTTATATCCAATTACCGGTAGTTTAATTCGGGATCTTGCGTAAAAACTCCGTCTTTTATTTGTTGGTATCCCACTGTCATTCATTTGTCATCGTCATGAAATTTGTAAGCTCGGTTGTGCCGATGACGTTTGCGGGGCTGTCAAGCGTGCTGTAACACTAACAGATCACGTCAGTTTACAGTGGCGATGGTGCCGGATCAGTTACTGCCTTAACTGAGTGAGATTATCAATCTGCCGAGTTCAACGACGTTATTGGAGGCGTCGTCTCGAATGAGCCGTTGGCGTTTGTGTTCCTTAACGTTTGCGCCTTTGACTAATTCTCATCCTTTCCATCCCATGCGCCTGCGACAATACCAAGCAGCATCTCACGTTATCATTCGACAAGATCCGACGGCGCATGGGCACGCATGGCAAGCGACATTCAGATGCTGTCGCAAGGCGCAATTGACAAGTCAACGATGCCGCCAATGGACTTCCACTTTGGGAGCATGAGAGTCGAGGCCATCAGGATGCTAGATTTGTAGTTTCGATTCCCAAAGCTGAGTATGATGTCACACTGTGATTGATCATTAAGTCTACCGTCTAGCACGCCTCGCTAAATCATGTAAAAGCAGTTACAAACAACCTAAAAAAACCATTTCGAATCCACAGGCTATCAGTAAACCTTGTTCTCCTGCGGCTACGCCCAAGCAATCTTACCAACATGTCTCTCCGGCCCCTTGATGAAGGTCAACTTGGGCGACTGCGCCATTTTGGGTGCACCCAGTCCAAACAGCATGTTCTGAATAGCTGTGATGCCAATGATGTGCTTGTCGATGAACTTGAACACGCCAGTCTGCCAAGTGGCGCTGGACGTCGCCTGGCCCGAGCCACGGCAAGCTTCAACAACGGGATCCATGCGTGAAGCTTGGTACGAGTGGAAAGCGGTGGCGAGTTGAGCATAGGTTGGGCTGGGGGACTTCTGACGAAGAGCGTAGAGCTGGTTGACCAGGGCGACAACGTCGATGAGACCGTTGTTGCAACCGGCACCTGTGCTGGGGGTGAACTTGTGAGCCGAGTCACCTACGAGAACGACACGACCGCCCCAGCTCCAGTGGTTGACGACACCTTCTTCGAGACTGACGAGGCCAGACTGAGTGCGAGCGTTGAAGGCGTCCTTGAGGGTAAGTTTGCCTCCGGGCGCAAGAGGGATGTGTCCCCATCGCTCAACAAGATCGACTTGATCCTGCTCCGTGTATCGGATCCGATCACGAGTAGGCGCATCCAACTTCTCATAAAGACCCATGACAGAAGAATCCTCACCGGCAAAGAGCTGTGTCGCCGCACCAGGACCGTGAGTCTCGCAAGTGGTGCCAGGCTCGATGCCCGCGAACTTGGTAGGCATGCGCAGCCAGAGAGCTCGGAATGTGGTCAGGAAAGGTTTCTCGTCATTGACATCATCGGATCCTGCGTCTTGTGCAAGAGAGCGCATCTTGTTGCGGACGAAACTGTGAGCGCCATCTGCCCCTATGACGATGGATCCCTCGTAGGATGTTCCATCGTCGCAGGAGACTTGAACGCCGGTTTCGCTAGGGATGATGTCGGCGACTCTCTTGTCGGTGAGGATCTGGCTCTTCTGGAGAGGAGTGAAAGAGTCGTAGAGGACTTTGGTGAGGTCGTGGCGGCTGACTACACGAGGAAATGTTCCAAGCCTGGGGTCGTCAGGAGAAAGGAATGTCAGGAGAGGGGGTAAAACTCACAGTTTGTTAAACAGGATGAACCAATACGCATCTCCGATATCGCGGCCCTGATGGTCTTGGCGGTTGATCAGACCAAGGGGAGAGCTAACTTTCTCTAGAGGAGCAGCGAGACCGAGTTGATCGAGAGCGCGAAGGCCCATGGGGTTGAGAACGAGATTGGAGCCAGCGTCAATGACTGCGCTTGATCGACGCTCGAGAAGAATGAAGTCGATATTCGCGCGGGAGAGAGCGTGAGCGGCTGTGAGACCAACTGGACCGCCTCCGACGATGATTGCTCTGAAGCGCTGAGTAGGCATGTTTTGGTTGGATTGGTTCTTGGATTGGTGGGCAGGTAAGGGGTTGGTGTCGTCGAAGGATAAGAGTATTTGTTTGTATAAAAATGCTAGTTGATTGAGAGCTTGAGTAGTGATAGATAAGATGTCCTTGAAGCGATTGAACACAGATATATATATTATTGTGCCGCTGCTCTATCTCGCATCTCGCATTGATTTGAGGCTGCAGTCTTAGTTAGTGCCCGTTTCTTCGCACTCGGATCCATGCGAGTCTGTTACCAAAAGGGGATTAGTGGGTTTCTGACGAAAGCTTGACTTTGCCATCAACCAAGATCGAATGCGATAAGATGAGATAAAAGCGAGCCTGGCTTATTCACAGAAGCTATTTCGTCTTCAAAATGATCACGAATGTAGGATACTGAGTGATGAATTGCACGATCCCTCCAATGTTCCATGAAAAGCCAGTCCTTTTCCTCTGTCAATTCAGGGACTCCCTTCCTACCCCGCTGCCTCTGCACAATACGACTGGCAATGCGAACATGAGCGATGCATCCTATCATGAAGGCAACAAAATACAGAAGAAGATGGAAATAGCACTCGGAGGAACGATTGTATTACGCACTCGATTATCGCACTCGCGAAACGACACGTTCAGGGGGATTTTGTCCTAGCGCCAATTGATTCCGAAGCCATGATCGAGAAGTTTATGATTGGCTCGCATTTCGAGGTCCACTTCGCATTCGGGAGGCCATCAGCCCTATGACGACACGACTTAGCAGGGCTTACCTAGCGGGCTGCTTCGGTGGCATTGCAGGGTAAGCGGGCAGTCAAACTGGTATGCAGTTAATCGGGCGCGGGAGAACTATTCATCAATCTGTTGTTCGAATAAGTAAGGCGATGTCCAGGTGAGCATTCGTCATTGAGTTGAACGAGACGGAACGCGTCGCGCTGTCTTTGCAGGGGCTCATAACACTGGGGCAAACCAGTTGCCGCCACCCGGGTCTGAAGCATGACAGAGGGAGCCCAGCCAGGCTCCCATGAATAACACAACGATATCCACGTCAACAATACAATGTGACACCGCGACTAATACCTCGTCTAATGAATGCTTTTGACGTGAGATAAATTGTATCATGGGGCTCTAGGCCGTGTCTATAAAGTCATAATCTATTAATTTCCATCCGCAAACATGCGTCCAAAAAACCGCCAATCCATAACCTCCCTCTTCATTGCTTCCCCTTCCTCTGATACCACTTTGTTTTGAGGAAGTAGATGATGCTGATACCGAGTCCCAGCCCCGCGAAACCAACAGCCATGTAGAAGGCAGACCGATAACCAATCAATAACTCGTGCTTTGACTCTCCACCATTTGTGACGTTGACCTCCACCGTAGCAGCAAATCCGAGGCCCAGGCTGATACTGTAGTTCACGATCGTGCTGACCAAGCTTGCTGCAATGCCTTGGTGCTCTCGCTTCACAGAGTTGGAGAGGATCAGAGTCGCAGCGGGAAACGACATGTCCATACCGAAGGTCATAATGACGAGGCCAAAGAAAGATTGGTACCAGTAGGACTGTTCCACAGGGGCTGTCATCATCAAAATCGTACCAGTCGTGAAAGCGGTGAGAGCAAGCAGCATGACCAGAGCAGGGTGCGACACATGAAGAAGCCATGCAGTGATCAGTGAGGCGCAGGCTCCAGAGATAGCAACCGGGCTCATCCAAGCACTCGTAAGAAGAGGTGAGGCGCCGCGAAGCATCTGGAAGAATTGCCAAGTGTAGTACACCCAGATACCAAAAGTTGCCCAACCGCAGACGATGCAGCCCAGGATGTAGGCAACGTCGCTAGTCAGAGCATCAAAGGGAATGAGAGGATGCGACGCGACGCGCAATTCGACGTAGAAGAAGACGGGAACGAGGAGCACTCCGACGATGAGAAGAACAAATACATATGGCTTGTCCCAGCCGTCGATGGGGGCTTGGTTCCAGGCAAAGTTGAAGAGGACAAGAGCAGTGATACCAGTGATGGCGCCGAGAAGATCAAGCTGACCAAGGATGTCACCCCAGCTCATATCGGCAGACGAAAGCTTGTGAGGAGGATCGGGGATGATAAAGTACGCCATCAGCGCAATGAACGCCAGCCCAAGCGCGAAAGAGTAGTAAGTCCAAGGCCACCAGGCTGGATTTCCATGAACAAAAAGTCCAGCAAACAGCGCGCCAAAAACACACCCACCAGGCGCACACGCTCCAAAGAGTGCAAACGCGACAGCCTTTCGACCACCAGGCTTGTACGAAGCGCCCAGGATAGCCAGACCATTCGGCATCACGAGCGCAGGTCCAATGCCCTGAAACACGCGCGCAAAGATGAATAGAACATGGTTGGAGTAGTTTGCTAGCCCGCAGATCATGGACCAAACAGCGAACCAGACGAAACCAATGAGGAAGAGGCGTTTGTAGCCAAAGATGTCGCCGAGACGGCCAGAGAAGAGGATGAAGGTTCCGACTGTGAGGGAGAAGCCGGCGATGAGCCAGCTTAGCTCCGCGGGGTTAGTGAGGTTGAATGAGTCGCCGATGATGTGGATGATGTTGAGGCAGTTTCCGAGCGCGGCTTGTGTCATGAACTGCGCCATGCAGATGATCGCCACGAAGAGGATCTCGTGCGGGAGTGAGAATGTCTCAGCTATTGAGACGTTGGACTTTGTTCTTGAGATGGCTTCCTCGTCGGGCCCTGTGAGCGTGTTGTTATCCGACGGCGCGTCCCTCTCGGGATCGGGCATAAAACCTTGCTCTGCACCAAATTAGCCCCCAATCCGTAGCACAAGCAGCGCAAACTCACCTTTTTCTGTTTCAGTCATCATGGTCGACAATACTGAAAGTCTGATCTGTCCAGAACATCGTTATCAAGGGATGACGAGAAGCTATATAAAAAGCGGCGAGCAAGTCCGAAAGATTGTGTATATCCGAGGATCCGTACTTCCGAGCCAATAGAGCTGCAACCGGCGCCGTCAGATCTCCACTACAGCATTTTTACCATTATTAATGCAGATTCCAGATCCGAGATGGGAGATTATCGCGATTAGCGTCGGAAATATGTCAGATTTTGTATATCCGATTGTGAAAAAGCTGAGGAATCGATTTTTGAGTTTGTTTGATCGGTGGAGATGCTACGTAAGGCGGGATGGTCACTGACCAATGCTACGGTGATGCATGTGATGAACAGGGATGAATACGACATCAATGAGAATGGTTGAAGTACAATCGTGAACGCGTTGACTAATGGCTACAATGAATAGCGTTGGAAGCGGGAATGCATTACTCCGCCTTGTTATTAGCCTGAGGAGGGTTATTGCTTCGTTGCATCATCACCGGCGTATCCTCTTGGTGTCCGAGTGACTGGACATAAGGTTCGGGAGAAGTACCTGCTTGACATCAAGGCTGGTTCCCGCTGTTCATTTACTGAAAAGAATTGAACTGATGACTGTTGATTTCGTCCGGTCTGACTTGTCGGGCAGAACTACTAGTCGTTAATAGGCGAGACCTTGCCGCGAGACTGTTGAGTAACACGGCGTTTCAAACTCCTGGGTCCGATTGGTTGTAGATATGGCGTTGCCTGTAAAATTCAGAAGGGAAATCATTCTTGCTGAGTTTAAACTTTCAAGAGCTGTAATTAAATTTTAGTGTATAAATTTATCAAGTTCTACTGTAAAACCTACTTGACTTATAACACTGAAAATAATAATAATTTACCATGGACAAAAGCTTACCTTACCTAAGTTTTTGGCAATAAGTGACTAATTATGCCTCTCACTTAAGTCTAAGGTTTTCTATTTGCTATAAAGTAGCTCCAGTTTAGCTTCTGTTTCGCTCCTCTTCTTGTACAATCTTCGGTAGACTCTACGCAGGTCGCGAGACTACCAACCATTATCTTATCAGACAAAGCCACAACTCTTCGAATCCCAGACTCCTTAACAACATGACCTGTTCATTTCACCCATTCCCACGACTGCCCATCGAGCTTCGGCTGCAAATCTGGGACGCAGCATGTCTTTCCTACGATCGTCAAAAAACCGGGATGCATTACATTGACGTCGAGCCCAGTGCTGACGGCAATACGCTTCTGGCCTATCATAGATCGACGGCGGACGCTATCGAAGGAGATGGCGAATCGGCCTGCTTGGTACACGCGCTACGTTCAGCGTGCACAGAGTCACGGAAGGCTGTATCAAGATACTGGCGCAACTACCCCTATGGCAATCTATCCCTCCCCCCTGGGAGAATCCGCATGCGCGAGAATGAAGGGGTTTGGGATGCTCCTGTCTGTCCATCTGAGGATGTCTTCTGTATAAAGTCAAAGAACTGGGAATGGAAAGCTCCTGACGGAAATCATAAGCCAATGCGGGTAGTGATCCCAAACTTCAGCCCTACAGGACCCCAGGACGTATGCATCAGAAGAATCGCATTTGAGTTTGACTCCGCCTGGAATGTAGACCTTCCAGGAAACTACCACGATCTGGCATCAGAGAACTCTGCCCGGGGATACTTTTCACGTTTTTTCTACAGAGCGTTCTTTAAGTATGCTACTGAGCTGGAGGTTTACCTGGTTGAAAAGTCTGGTCAATGGACAAGCTACCTTCCCAAGTATCAGATGAATCAGAGCTCGTGTTGCAAGGATTACGATACAGATTATGCTCTAGTGCAGCCGTACTACAGATGTGTTCGGTGCAAAGATTGGCACGAATCCGATGGAGCTTTTGTAAACGTCAGAAGCTTCATAGACAAGCTTGAAGAGCTTTGCGAGCTCTGTGAACCGGATCGTCCCAAAACAAAGCACGATTACTACATTGACTCGCCAGTTATACGACTAGACTATCTATCAACCGATTGCATCCGATATATCGCTCGTTTGGACAAGAGAACCGAGGATTGTGTGGGACCGCAAGTTAGCACGAATCTTCCGTTGCTACGACCTTACTTTGTCTGGCCTTAATTCTTATCCCTCAGTACCCCGCTATCTCATAAATCATACCTACTGGGGACGATCTTTGGGACTCGGGGTTCATGCAGAAGTAGAGGGTGGAAGGGTCGACTTGGGTACTGGGAACTTTTGCAACTTGGGCTTTGTTTTGCTTTGAGAGGCACTCGATCCTAGGGAGGGTGTAGGCTCGCAGCGTTTCTGATATGCAAATCGATTGTCAAATATCGGCAGGGGATTATCTCCCTCAGTCCTACGATTGCTACCCCATACTCATGAGACAGAAATACAGCCATTTGAACGATTGGAGCTCCGAAATACAGCTTTTCTACAAGTTATTGATAGCAAATTGCGTTAGAAAAGTGACGTATTTGGTGGACTTAACATCTAATGAGGATAAAACTGTTGCCATGTGCACTCTTACCAAAGAGCGTGAATCTGACGCTCATACAAGCATCACTTATCCTTCCAAGACTCTGCCAGCGCTGTATCAGAACCTTCACCTTCAACTTTATTGGTGTTAACATACACCACTAGCAAAGAAAGACCTGCTAAACCAGCCGTTGAGTAACGCCGCAGATTAAGCTTTAAATTCTGGTTGAGCATAAGAGAGCTTCAATGATATGAAGAGACGAAAACTATATTCCACAACTTAACGTTTCAGAAGCTACATAACTTGATACTTTGGGAGTTTAAAAGATTGTGGCGTAAACTTTTCTCACCTATAGAACTCAAAATGCCAACCATTCGCTATCAATCAAAGACTATTATGAGCTTTCAGCCATGAGTCACGCCTCGAGTGTTTTATCGCCATCATAAACTTTCCCGTTCACCATAAAAGGGCCCTCTCTCTTCTATTTCTCTCCTTCTTCTCAATCGTAAGAAGAATTCTATGAACAACGGTCGAGGCCCATGTCTTGTCACTTCCGACGTCTTCCCACTGCAAACAGCTACGAACTCTTCCATTCGCCGACAACTGATCAAAATGGCGGCATCTTCATTCGAACCATTCCCCAGGCTACCAACTGAGCTTCGGCTCCAGATTTGGATTGCAGCTTATGTCTTCTATCAGTCGGATGATCGTGGAATACACTATATTGATGTTGAGCCCATTTCTACCGGAAGCATGCTCTCCTCCTCTCCCACGCTCACGGCGCGTCTTGCTGATGGAGACAAGAACTCCGCCTGCTTGAGGAATGGTGGACTATGGACAGCCTGCAAGGAGTCCCAGGATGTTATGATACAATACTCAAGAGTTGATGCCCTAGATTACGCGAGAATTAGTATTTGTGGGAAAGGAAAGGGCTGGTCTTCTCCTGTAAATCCGACCCGCGATGTGTTTTGCGTCAGGTCAAAGGCCTGGAAAACTCCAGACGACCATGGTCAGGGGTGGCAAATACAACTTCCATCCTTCAGCCCCGAAGGATCATGCCCTACGGATATCAAGAACGTTGCACTTGAGTTTGACGAATCTTGGAATAAAGACCTTCCGAAAAGCTACTATGATCTCATGTCGGAGGCCTCTGCCCGCGGATTTCTGTCACGTCTCTTTTACAACAGATTCCTCAATGATTCAGATACACCTCATATCTGGATCATAGTGACGAATGGTCAATGGATACTTGAGCCCGGTTTGGCCTGTACGCCAAATCCATACCGTGATTACGATACAGACTATGTCCCAGCCTGGCCTTACCTTTTATACCGTCACTGTCGCAGGACCCACGATTTCGATGGAGTCTTTAAAAAAGTCAGAATGTTTTTGAGAACTCTCAATGATCTTGGCAAGGCCTGTGAAGAGGATCACCCCAATTTTAAACGTGAGTATGACGATATAGAGTACGGGGCCTGGGAAGAGGCATTCAACATAGCAACGGATGTCCAATTCCTTGCTCATCGGGACATGCTGATCGATCTTTGTACAGGACCAGAACCGGAAGAGGAGGAAGAGGAGGAAGAGGAGGACGACGATATTGACATGGGGATCTGAAACTTGAAGGAGGCAAGGCCGTGCTCGATACTGAGCACTTTAACCAATCAGGGTTCTCCAAACTTCTTGAAAGTTGGCCATCTATGAGATGAGGCTTCTCCTTTCGTGGTTACCTCTTGTATGTTATTGAATAGCTTCGAAGACTTAAAGCTGAGATCAATATTGTCCCTACTTTTGATGAAATGTTTTTGCTCCATTGCGTAGAATTTGAAAGCTAAAACATCATTACTCTGCCCTTGGGTATCTGCTCTATCTCATCACCTCTCGTGGCCTATTACCATAGAGTACAGAATATTCCCTTCAGCTTTCCGACCCAATGCGCTGTTTCCGTTGCTCACTAGAGTGAGATTCAAATACATGACATTCTCTGATATCCATATCCACGGTGCTTAGCAACATCAAATTACTCATCTCCTTCTTCGCTGTCGTCGTCCCCATCATCCCCTCCATACTCTCTCTCGTCGTCATCATACTCTCCATGTTTGTTATAATACTCAAATTCTCCGTCAAATAAAGCCCGGCAACATATTGTCCTTTCGAACGAGAAGTCGGATTGAGAGGAGGAGCGAGTCGCTCAAGTAATCCTCCCTGTCAGCGAGTTGTTCAAGGGCAGTCATGAAATCGGCTACAGCACCCTGAGTTCCATCAACCAAGTTGCTGCGAGTGTCATTCCAGCCGATGGCGACATATTCGTCTTCAAGGTCGCGCCACACAGAAAAGAATCGTTGATGAGATCGAGCAACCCAGCGAACGGTGTCATCAATAATCCATAGAGACGGTCTAGCACCGACGGCTCCCTGATCCTAGGAGAGAGACCATGCTAGCCGACTTCGGACGGAATCTTCTTTCTCAACGAGATCCGACCACTTGCTGGGAATGTCTTTCATCCAACTTTGCTCGAACTTGAAACCGATGTTCCAAGCTCCGACGACGGTGAAGGTCTTGGTCCCGAGGCAAGGAGCCAAGAGCATCATTTCAAGGAAGCTGTCAGGGACTGCATCGAGATTGCAGGTGTCAATGCAAAAGATGTCGCCATACGGCTTGACCAATGGGCACCAATTGTCATTCTTGGTCTTGGGTACAATCGCCGAGGGGAAGGCCTTATTATACCAAGCTGGCTGCCCTCTTGGGCGACCCTGTCCTCGATGCGCAAGCCACTCCTTGACGTTCAAGTGCTTTTCGATGACTTCGCGCGATTCCTTGCAGGCTGACCAAAGACCTGCGTCCCAGAGATAGGCCGACTTGTTGAGGGGGTTGGCGGGAGGTTGCGAATCGCCGGTCTTCTCCCACGGGCACTCCAACGCTCTGAGAGTGGCATACGCGCTACCTTCGTAGTCGTAACTTGGACCCTCAATGTTGGGGTCAGAAGTGACGGGATCGACGTTGCTTTCCTTCCATTGGCTTGTAGTGTCCACGATGTCGACGGTGACATAATGAAGTCCTTTCTCGGATGCTGAGCGAGACAGGCAAGCTTCCTTCCAGATCTTGAGTCGCAACTCCGGGGGTAGGCGGCGGAATTTGTGGAACGTCGGAGATGTTGCCTTAGCAGTCGAGGTACTCTGAAGATCCTGCTTGGGAGCAGCTCCGAGTGAAGCTTCCGCCATGGTCACTACTGTATGTTAGATGTTTTCTATGACGACGATGGCGTAGCGTACCTGGGGACTTCTGTACCTTCGTCTTGATATGAGCTAAATGCTAAGACGAGATGCTGCTGAAGAAGGTTTGATAGATGAAGAGGAGAGAAAAGGAAATGAGGGGTGAAGAGTGAAGGACGAAGGATGAAGCAGAGAGAAGAGCCAAAGGCGAAGGCCTAGTCTTCGTAGACAACAACAAGTGGCCCATGTTCGTTAGCTAATCGATCAGTCGGACTCACAGTGGGAACATCAGTGGCAGTGGCAGTGGCAACGGAAGTGAGAGGCAGCAACACAAGATGCACGTTCGCAAAGGCCTCGACCAATCATCTCATAGAACCACTAACTCACTGTAGCCATGACTTCTGCAGCCAAAGTCCTGTGAACAGGATGTAAAGATGTGTGATGAACGAATCAGGCGTATGACAAAGTCCTTGGCGATGCTTCATGTTCAACCTGGGAAAGTCTTTTTACGACGCGGCACAAGGCCCGAGGCAAACCGCCATCAATGGTTCCTACCAGGGGCACGCTATACCAGAGTCTATTGGCTTATCATCCTGTTGTTGGAGCCAGGTAAGTGTTCGGGTGAGAAGGAATCTGGACGGACCTTGTTTTAATGTTGCACCTGGATAAGGTTTAAAGGCATGTTTATAACTGTGACTCACATGGGCAGCTGCGTTAAATGGGAGGGTCTCTCGAACCTTGGTCGAAAGTTAAATCACATCCTTACCTATATAAATGCCCATCCCTCGCCACTTGATTGTGCTCAACCTGAGATCCTTGTGAGAACTTTGAATTTCAGATATGTCTACTTTTCATCCATTTACCAACTTGCCCGTTGAACTGCGCCTTCAAATTTGGAGTGCTGCATGTCTTCCATCTACATCACGTGGTCGTGGCATACAGTACGTCAACGTCCGAGATGACAAGATAATGCCCTTGAGTTGCAACTGGCCTCTAGAACCCGATCTTGAGAGGTCAACCCATCAGCCGAATCGATCTGCCTACCTGATAGATGGAGGCCTATGGAGGGCCTGTAAGGAGTCGAGAGAAGTTGTACGCAAACATTCACGCTCCAAAAACTGGCCAGGCGGAGAAGACGCGGTGCGCCCGGCGATTCTCACGATCAGAGAAGACGAGGAAAGATGGCATATGATGGTCTACTCGAGTCGGGATATCTTTGCTATCAGGGCAGACAACTGGAGGTCTATATATGAAAAGTCTTATTCTCCCCGGCTATATATACCGAATAATGTTTCCGGAACCAACGTACGGCGTTTCGTCAAGAATGTCGCCATCGAGTATGATCATAAATGGTCTCTTAACTTCCCAGGGTCATTATACACCTTGAGAGAAGAGAACTCTGCTCGGGGATACCTAGCAAAACTACTCAT